CCTGCATGCTGTGCGCCACGCCGGTCGAGCTGTTTTGCGCGCTCATGGTCGCGGATACCGGGGCGAGTGAGCTGGCCGCCTCGTTGGGCGCTGGGGGCTGCGCGGCGACGACGGGCGCCATGGCAGCGTCGACGAGGTTGAACAGGGTTTCCTCTGGGGCAAATATTTTGGCATCGACCTCCTTGAGCAGCGTGAAATGGCGAACGAGCTCTTTCGGCAGGGCGGTGATCGCATCGGCGAAGTGTGTGACGGCGGGGAAGATGTCGATGGGTTGATCAGAGCTGGAAGCGCCAGGCAGAGAGTCTCGTCCGCCGATCGGCCCTCGCAGATTTGAGACGCGCAGAGGGTTGGTTCGAGCCTGTCGGACGGGTTGGGACCGTCTACTCGACGGCCCGTCCACCGACGGGGGCTTCGCTGACTTCATGGTCGGACTGCAGGGGAGGAGAAGGGCAGGTGTGGTTCGGGATGGTGTTGTCGAGAGGCAGGCCAAAGAGGCCGGAGGAGGTTTGTCTTGAAAGTCGTGCGAGTTGTGGGAGAACTCTAAAGAGGGCCTCCTGGGGGCGGAATGCGACCGGAGAACAGAGTTGGAAGCTTGATTGAAATGATTCAGGACATCGTAATGCGTTTGAGATAGTCAAATCGTGTGGAGATGTTGGAGGTCGGTGGACAGAACGCGAGTAGAAGCGAGCGTGTGAGGTGGTTGAGGTGGGAGATCGAGAGAGTGACAACTTGGGGGGGCCCTGCCGCCGCCTACCACTGATTTCCTGCGCTGTTGCTCTCTGGCTTTGGGCGGAGAAATCCCGTCACGGGCCAGGAACCAGTGAGGAGCCGGCCTGAGGCCCCCAGAGACTCCAGTGGGAGCTCCTTCCCCTCGGCTCGCACCAGCCACATCTCTTATCGGGATCGCAACTACAATCGATAAGCCTCTTTGCCAGTGTCGTCATGGGCGCTGGTCACGTCGCATTCTGGCCTGGATCACTCGTTTGCCTTTGTCTGGCTGCTGGGCTGCACAATGACACTTGCGACAACATGACATTGAACTCTGGGTTTCACTCTTTCCTCACAGCAACAACGATGAGCGGCACACGTCGGACGCACTGATGCACGGACACCCCACGCCCCCAAGCATGTTAATGAAAGTGCTCCCGAAGTAAACAACCCGCCACTGACTTTGCACCCGTCATTCGG